ATAGGATTGGTGGAAAATGTATCTTACTTGTGTATCCTTATTATCAAACTAGCCTATGACTTCATCCGCTAAGAATATGAATTTTAGAACATAACTTTTTTTTGTTTTGATTTTCCTAAATGAAAGTAATCTATGTTGCTTCTTAGTACATCAACCACCTGACAATAAAAGTCTTACAAAACCGCTCCAGCCAGAGATTAGCCAGTACAAACAGAGAGACACAAAAATTGTAAAAAATATTGTTTTGGTATATGTATTCATAAGCAATATGCATGTAGTATATTTAAAAGCGGTTACTTTAATATTACAAATAGACACTAGAATTTTATTTATCAGTCTGTATAGGTGCATAGTTTGTTCCATATTAAACCCCTATAAGCCTATGTACGACAAGGATATCATGCGAGTATCGTAGAATATTCAAATATCTTTGGATATTGATATCGACCGGACCATCTCTGCAGGCATAGAAATTAATTTTCCTTTGAGATTAAACCGTGTTTCGTGCAGTATTTCAGATATGAAAACCTCTTACAGTTTCAGTCCAAGTAAATCCAGACCTGGCTACTACAGCCAGATTTTTTATTAAATCGACTTACTAGTTGTCAAATCTAGTCTCTACACTTTTTCTAAGATAAAATAATTATTCACACAAAGCTGAGCCCAATCTGAGAATCAAACCAGAGACTACTAACTTAGTAGTCACGATTGTATACTCTCAACCCATCTCAACCAGTCGCGGAGAACGTAACGGGTTACCGGGGCTCCGGCTCGACGTGCAGCAGAAGGAACGGAGTGGTTTTTAGTCAGTAAGAGTCTGAAACTCCCTCCTACCTCACCTATGCGAGAGCAGTAATTCGATGATTTTCCCCCCTTAAAAAAAACCCTCTCAACCAATCAAAACACCCAATAATACTTTTTGAACAACACTTTTCCTAATACATACGCGGTTAACATCAATATTATGTTTGTCTTGTGTCGTCTTTAATAGAAAATCTCCTTAATACTCCACATTTTCCAAAGTTCAATCATAATAAGTAATTCAACGTTTATTTATGGCTTCCTAAATTCCAAGAGAATTGTGTTCCATAAAGATTAGATATTAAGATGATGCCGGATTCAGATTTATTAAAATAAGCTTCCCTTTGTAGGGGTGTCAACCTTCATAGAAATATGATAAAATACAAATTCTAAGAAACACTTGAAAACTAGCTAATCATGAAAATAAACGTAAATAAAATACTTTTCAAGTTGTTTATTTTCCAGTAAAGTAACCTAGTTAATTAGCCATTTGGTTGAGTCAAAAGATATAATTGTATTTATTCAAGGAATAAAAAAAATAAACCGTGTTTGAATTTTATTTTTAGACTTGTTTTCGTCTTCGAAGATGTCTCGAAGTGGAAACAGTTGTGAGGGAAAAATAACTATAATTAACATTAAAAATGAATATTTTAAAAAGTTGTTAACCCAGACTAATAAATGACATTAAAACGTATTAAACAAGCGAGTAAATAGAACAGTTTAATTGAGGTCAACAAAAATTGTAACATATTGAAATTAGTCCAATGTCATGGTCAATCACATACATCACTCACTTGGTAAGCATAATAGTATCTGTCGCGGAGAACCTAACGGGTAACCGGGGCTCCGGCTCGACGTGCAGGAGAAGGAACGGGGTGGTTTTTAGTCAGTAAGAGTCTGACACTCCCTTCCGCCTCACCCAGGCGGGAGCAGTCATTCGATGATTTTCCCCCCTTAAAAAAAAAAAAGCATAATAGTATTTATCTCAACATAAACAACATAAATTGACGAGAGAAAAAGACGCTGGCTTCTCATGCATGAGAATGCGGGTTCAAAACCTACCAACGGCAAGTACCAATGTGACTTTTTCCGAGTTGTATGTACTTTCTAAGATTATTTAGACACTACTGACAAACGGTGAAGGAAAACATCGTGAGGAAACCTGGACTTATAATTTCTAATTATAAGTTTGTAATCACCAACCCGCATTGAGCAAGCGTGGCGATTAATGCTCAAACCTTCTCCGTGTGAGAAGAGGCTTTGCTCAGCAGTGGGCAATTATAGGCTGTTGATGATGATGATGAAACAACATAAATTTGGAACTTATCTACCCAATATTAAAACATAAATGTTCTTTTACAAAATTACACATGAAATGAGCACTTAATATCCGAGCATATTTTTATCATAATAATCTTACCCTGCTTCTGACCGGCCGACATTACTTCCCTCCTTCAAATCAGATAATATTGGATTAAAATGTGCCGAACAAATACAAAGTGTGGCTGTAAAACCATTTCCCTTTTCGTCTTCCTTTTATTCACTAGAATTTGTACTTAACTTCAGTAATGTAATTTCATTTGATTTCTGACCTTTTTGAAAGGAATCCGTTTTATTATTATTGACAGGTTTTGCAGTAATGGTTGGGAAGATTAGTAATCGAAAAGATTTCTATTTATAGATCTGGTGGTGTATTGAAATTAGTTTTTCTATTTTGATGAGATGAAAAAACTCGGTTTGGGCCGGGAATATTGTTGTTAAATGTATTGTGACAATCTGAGTAAACAAGATCTATGGAAGTAACTCAAAGACAGACTTGACAGTAAATAATCTCAAGAACCCTTTTGGATGCACTGACTGCGCGGTTGGTGCGGTGGCTGGGCAACTGGCTGCCGCGAAACGTGTCGCGGGTTCGATTCCCGCACGGAACAAATATTTGTGTGATCTAAAGATTGTTGTCCCGGTTCTGAGTGTGATGTGTAAGTGTATGTGAACTTGTATATTTGTAAACGCCCAGGACACAGGAGAAAATTCTAGTGTAGAGCAACGTTTTATTTAAAAAAAGATAAATTGTCTCATAAAAAGTCATATAAGAATACACCTCCAACCAATTTTATCAATAGCACAATTCCTTTTATTTGAAACATGTAACGCTTTGGAAAAACACCGTTTTCTTTTGAACATGGGTTTGAGGCCTCCAGCTATTATGACCATTGTTCCACGGTAACATTGTGTGTTTAATTATACTCCCATTTACTTCATATTTATGTAAGGCTCTTGTCTTACAGAATACACAGTGGCCTATGGTCTATTTATACAACATTATACAGGATGTTGTACTTCCCAGCTCTTTGAGATATAATTAGAAGTATGTTATTAGCAGATTATGTACAAATTGTTTATCTAATTTCGTCGTTTCGTTGTTCGTAATATCAATCTTTATTTTATCGTGTGTGAATGTTTGGTTTGATAACCATGAAAATATATTAAGATATTTATCGATACTTTATTTGAACATATATTAATAGCTACGTGTAGATATTATGAACAGTAGAGGTCTATAGACTATTTGATAAAAAATAAATGTATGCATATATTAACATGTTACGAAACAAGTTTAGAATATTTTTGGTCTAATATATGCCGCGTCGTTTTGTCATTGACCTACGTCCTACACGACATTTCCATCCCCATTACAACAGATGATTAGCAGGCCACAACTGTGCGTTTTTGCCGAAACTTTCTCACACCGCAAAACTGTAGAATAATTTATCGTCAGCAGAGTTTCCGAACAGATACGACCTTCAAACCTTCAAGAAAAAAGTATTATTTTACATGATTCGAATACATTTCGTCGTTGACTCTCCCTAGTCCTTTCCATCATCGTACCACAAGACAATCGGCGAAGCGTCACCAATTCATGGTAGATGTCCCACCGTCACGCACGAAGCGCTTCGCATCAAGCTTCGTTGTGTGTACTGTTAAGCTGTTGTTTGCTAGAGTCTGTATTTCCTGAAGGGTATAAACCTGGGTGTCTTCAATGCTCAAGTGAATAGATTGCTAATGGGTAGACCGCATCATCCCATTTATTACCACCAGTCAAACGTCGGCCCATCAGATATAAAAAAAGGCAACGCAACTGTGACTGTTTTGGTGATTCAAGTATCCATGGGCGGCGCTGATTGCTTACCATCCAGTGATCCGTCTGCTCGTTTACCTCCTATTCCATAAAAAATATAATAAATCAGCAGTTAGTAACACCCAATAGGCTCACCCCCTAATACATGGGACTTATAACATACATATATAGTGAAAAGTGGGTGTTACATTGTACAGTTACATTAAGTGCCGTAATGTGAACCTCTGCCTACCCCTTCGGGGATAAAAGCCGTGGTGTTATGATGTTATGGTAGTTAGTAAAACGACTTCACTATTTTTTAAGAGATCTATGTATAAGCAGGACAACATCAATGTAAATACGCAAGAAATATGTCCTATATATTTTATATTTCTCTCTTCTTACATATCCGACCCGTGGTTGAACCCTTGATTTCCTTCGTTATGGGTGAACAGAACCCGATACGCGTCAGTAAATCTGTGATTCGAGCAAATATTATAAATCAGTTGTTACGACAATTGGGATGGAAGATTGATTTTATCTTTTAATATTTGAATAGATATTACTTAAACGCAATAGGCGATATTGATTTCTGAACTTTTTTATAATTTTTTGAATAAAATCTTCCATTGCAACAGACTCGAAACATACTCAACTGAAGAAAACTAGCCTTACATTTAGTGCTGCGTGTATTCAAATCTTTTAAGAAGTAAAAGCTAAATACTAATCATAGGTTATAGGTGTCGCGGAGAACCTAACGGGTTACCGAGGCTCCGGCTCGACGTGCAGGAGAAGGAACGGGTTGGTTTTTAATCAGTAAGAATCTGACACTCCCACCCGTCTCACCCAGGCGGGAGAAGACATTCGATGATTTTCCCCCCTTAAAAAAAATCATAGGTTATAGCTATGTACATACATTGTACACTGGTATCTCTATGAGTGATAGCCCAAAACATTTCTAATCCCAAAACGCATTTACTTTACTTCTCATTTCACAATCACCAACTCAAACAAGCATCATCAAGTACCACACCTGTTCAACAAAATCAGTTTATTAAAACAAAATTTCTTTCTCACCCAGGTGGCGTGGATCCGAGCTGATGATCAGACAATATTAACACTGCATACAAGATTGGTAACTCACAGTTCCCGGTATGCAGTCACCAATGACTCTCCAAGGTCGTGGCAGCTTCACATCCGACCTTTGAAGGTGGAGGATCGAGGGTGTTATATGTGCCAGATTAACACCAGCACAATGAAGAAACAGATTGGATGCGTCGATGTTTTAGGTAAGTGAAGATATATCATTGTGATCTGAAATAACTCTAGTGGACTTAATTAATACTATAATGTATACTACTAATCTAGTATGGTATCTTATACTACTAGATAAAGCGGAAGAGTTTGTTTTTTTGTGTGTTTGTTTGAACGCACTAATCTCCGTAACTACTAGTCTGATTACAATAATTCTTTATGTGTTGGATACCACATTTATCGAGGATGGCTATAGGCTATAAAACATCACGCTACGACCAATAGGAGTTGAGCAGAGCGGGTGAAACCGCGCGGAAGTAGCTAGTGTTATGATAAAAATGAGGTTGTATAGGTATGTCTACAATATAAAATATTCAGAGTAAAAATAACCTCTCAAAACGGTCCTTTATCTCGATCTAGATATAAGGATTCCATGTGCCATTTTGCACGACGGAATTTTCATACTCCTATTTTCTTCAATATTATTCCTATTTTCTTCGGTGTGGAAACCAATCGAATGAAATCGTAACACTATATAACTTTTATTGTCAAAAACATAAAAGTTATTTTACGATGGCATTGACGTGCAGTGGTTTGCAGTATTTTTTGGTCTTAAACGTATCATCACTAAAAGAAGTTGTGCAACCATATAAACTTCCTCTAACTTTAACTCATTACCGAAAGAAGAACAAAACTTAAACAAGTAATTGAGCTAAAACTTGCATCATATAAAAACATGTTATTTTAGCAAACAACTTGAAAAATTAGAACTAGCACTAAACCAACCCAATTTCTTAAACTGCACTAAAACCGAAAGTTTCCAAATAAAGCGGTGTCACAAAATTATATGACATACTGTCCGTTCAACAACTTGTTTTTTATATGTTTTCGGGGGTATACTAGAAAATGTGGAGTATTTTCTCGAAGGAAAACAACATTGGGACAGAATGGGAGCTCGGAATGGCATCTGGTCAGCCATTACGGGGCCGTCCGTTATAACACAACCAATACGTGTCTTGAAGTTGATGAATGTTTCTCTGAAATGAATCAAACTATAATAAGTCTGATAGATGATTTGGGATTTAGATGCCCAATTAAATGTTGGCTTTAATTATTATAATGGATGAAGGCATTTTAACCGATACTTATTTAATTTGCAATTCAAAATGATTTTTATCTTTTAGATTTTAATCTTTAAAATAATGTCAATTACTCCGTATTTTATTTGTATTAACTTTAAAAATCACTGCAAAACAAAAGACTTTACAAGACAACTTCTAAATTAAAGTATCTGCATCTATTGCACAATGTGCAGAACAAATTATTCGTCGTAGCTACGCTTTCTTAAATTGTTTTCTTTTTTGTTGTCTGTTTTCTCCATTCTTCCACGGCTCGTTTGAGTTCCCTATCCTTTTATTTCAACACTTTACTCATTGTGTGGCCTTCACCGAAAAAACTGAGCAAAAAAGACTTCATGATAAGAATTTTCTGGAAGCAATGATCATTACGGCATCCCTTGCATTATACTAACTTTTGTTGATCTATCATTGGTTTGTTTTGACACCTCAGGCGTTTCGAAAGCTGTCTTTTTATTTTTGTTTCCCGGTTTTTGTCCGAAAAGTTTCGAAAGTCCTCAATTCGAGACATCGTTATACGAATGAAGTAAGTGTTTAAGATGTTTTGAGAGACGTAACTTTTCGGATTTTGTTTAAAAGACTTTGTATTTGCGTCGTCGTTTAGAATCTTGTTATTTTCTGATTTTACTTTGGTAAGTATTTTATTCGCATTTTGCATATATAATAACAGATCATGAATTATGTACATACGTTAGTTTTTCGTCCTGAACGCTTGGCTGGTACACCTATAGAAATTAGAAATTGACTTATTCCTACACATTATTTACGAATTGTAATTACATAAAATGTACTTCTACAGCAAATAATGTTAACACACTTAACCATACCATATTTTTTCAATTACAAAATACATATTACCTCTATATGAGCTATGTTTACGTTTAAATTTGTTTAGTGATTACTATGCTACATCATACTTAATTCATGATCAAGATATATACATATACATTAACACTCATCTAGTAAAACCTGATTTAAACTCAGAGCTATCTAAACTGATTCAAGAAATATGTATGTCCTATGAGATATGACAGATTTAATTTATTTTGTTTTCCGTTGTCACGTTTCCGTATACTTTTTGCTTGTCTTGAAAAAATATGACGAAAATTATTTAAGCAAAAATCTTTATAACTCCATTGTTCACTTACTGAGGCAAGTGACATGCGGAGAATACTTAATGAGACATCGGTACATGTCGATCGAAGAAAAATTAAGTAAATGTGTATGTATAAATTGGTTATTTATGACAAAGTACGTATAATGATTAATTTATTTGCCTATTTTTCAGAACTTCGTATAATTGAACGCCCTGGTTATTAACAATTACGCTTTTACTTATCCTATATTATAAAATGTACTTAAATTCTATCACCGATAAGCAATAGTTAACTTCTAAAATTAAAGTTAAGGTTAAGTTCTAACTCTATATCTAAAGAGTCAGATTTTTAAGACTTGAGATTCGCCGTTGGTCTTTTATTTTAATGTACCAGAATGTAAAACAATATTACCCAATTGTTTACGATTGTCACCGATTCATTTGCTACCTCTCAAAATTCCAATAAGGATCATTCCTAAAAGAAGACACGCTGAAAGAATGGAAAATAATTCTTACATCCCTGAACTCAATGTTCTTTTTTCGTTGCAAAAAATTCAACTAGATTGGAAAACTGCAATTCCTAGATTTGTGGCCGTGTAGACGTCTAAATGGAAGACAAGTGGAAATTCTTGGAAGTTTGTAGACACCGCACGAGTTCTTCGTACTTTGACGTAGTTTCCATACGTGATAACAAATTGCTTCAGTTCTGTTGTTTTTGGACTGTCTAGTATTGGCTTTTGTTTGGTCTGGATTGTGACTTCTTGGTTGGTTTATGCAAGTGTTTGAATGAGTTTGAAAAATAGAATAAAATATAACTTTTGAAATTAGAATGCATTAAGTAATGTGATGCTTTACATCTTAATTGCACATCACATCAATTACTTATTATGTTTTTCGTATTACTCGCGTAATTAGAGGTATTTGACGAGGAACTCGACTATTTTCAGGTCATACTAGGTTTCAGTAGTAGAAAGTTTCGTGTAGCCAGTAGCAGCGCTACAGTTGTCGCGTCGCAGGTTGCGAAATGCTGCTCATGAATATGAGCCTCAAACATGACTTGAAACTAGTCGAGTTCCTCGTCAAATAATTACGTGAGTAAGCCGAAAAACATAATGATTTAGTATCACATTTTTAGTTATAGAAACTCGTCAATTTTAAGTCTATATCGTCATAAGATCAGAACTAGACACAAAAATAAAAAAAACCGTATTTTATCTATTTAGTTTCCTGCACAACAAACGCTGGCTTTAAGCCTTTTATTATTTCGGAAAAGTAACACAATAGAATACCAAAATCAAACCGTGTGTAGATAGAAGTTACAAACGGTCGAGTGGTCGGTAAGGGTTGTCGGCGGTCCAGCACGTAGGCTAATAGCACGTAGTGTCGAGGCTCGCGTCGCTTGCAAAGGCCGGAAGCTGTTTGGTTACTAGTGATTTGGATTTCTATGTATGTATGTTATAGATTAGGGTGTAGAGAGTACTTTTTTGTACGATATTATTGTAATGCCATTTTTTTAATAAAACGTTGCCCCGCACTACGATTTTCTCCTGTGTCGTGAGTGCGTTTACAAAAATAAAAGTTCACCTACACATGACACCTAGACCCGAAACAATAATCAGTGGAACACACAAAGAATTGCTCCGTGAGGGAATCAAACCCGCGACACGTTGGGCGGCAGCCAGTCGCCTAGCCACCGCACCAACCGTGCAGTCAAATCAAGATTGTTAAAGTTTTCCCTTGTATATATGACTAAAGAGAACGAACCCTAAGGGACTTTTAAAAAAGATCAGGTAGCAGCAGCATGCTCTAAGACCTTAGTAAAAGTTTTACATTTAATGTAATCAAAACTATTCCGCGTTCCGTGCTCTGATTGTTTGGTTCATAGAACGCGGTATCGTTTAAAAGTAAAACAAACCGTACTAAGCCATCTGACAAGCTTGAACCTATTAAACTGCTATCAAGGGCATAGATTATGGCAAATCCTTTTTAGGTAGAGGAGGTCCATACTCTAGCAATGCACTATCACGAGCTATGACAGATGATGAATAGATAATGAACTTGAATAATTGACTATTGGGCGATGACTAGTAGTTAACTGCTGCTGATTAATTATTTATATAGGTACTGCATACTTGCCTTCATAAAAAAGCAGTAGCTGTGAAAAGTATTTATTACTTTTATATATTTCTCTATTTAACTATAAGAGACTAGACATAGGAGACCATTAGTATCGACTAAAGCTTTACAAATACTTGAATAGTCAGTCGATAGTCCACTGCGTAAACTGTTAGTATCGAGCCTACGTCGGTTGTGTGGAATATATCTGAAACAGTTTCAATTTGAGGTGAAACTCCTTTTTTTCCTGTTTCTGTGGTTTGGGTTCAATCTATACATACTGCATACATTTCATTCGTTGGAATAAAAGATTGTGTGGAAAACGGGGCCTGTTTCTATTATTTTTTTTAGAATAAAGCATATAGGTACAAATGTTGAACAAAGTGATTTTAGTAAAATATGTTGTCATATATGTTTTGCATGTCACATCTTTTTTTATGGGATAAGTCGGTAAACGAGCTGACGGATCACCTGATGGTAAGCTAAGGAGGATTGTTGGGGATTCAGGGATTGGGGTCCGGTAACCTCACTTACACGACGAAACAAAACAAAACGTTGTCTTCTGTGAGGCCGTGGTATCACTCCGTTCGAGCCGGCCCATTCATGTCGAAGCATGGCTCTCCCACACTTTACTTTGTTACGTCATTGTGTTAAAGGTAATTAATTACATGGATTCGGACAAAAATAGTATATTTTTTTCACTTCATAAAAATAGCATTTGATAGGATGGTAGAACTATACATGTGGCACAAGTTAAGAGTATTTTCTGCAATAAATCAATAACGTTATGACATGATATTTTTGTCGTGTTCAGATCGAACTTACAAAACATTTTAAATCTAATATCAACTGAAAACTAGTTCACGATATAAATGTTACTATGACGGAGCAGTTTGTTCAATTTCCCGTACATCTAGATCAGCTTCATATATGTTTTATTCAAGGCTACTATGTCCCAAACGGTACCGTTTCAAGTTATTTCGGAGCACCACTTTCAAGCTCAGAAAAACATGTTTTTCTTCATCTTTGTTATTGAACGATGTTCTCAAAATATTTTCCGTTCTCCAGACCCTGAATAAAGCGGGTTATCATCAAAACTTGTTTATAACGGTCGCTTTAATACACGAACGTCACGCAAAACTTAGCCCGTTTGCACAGTGACTTAACACGCAAAATTATGCTCAATAATCCTCTATCAAAGTCACATACTTACTATGTAAGTGCTGTACTATAATGTTAAGTTCATAAAGATGATAGTGGCGTACGTGGTTTCGAGAAGTTGGGCGAGACGTGACTATATTGTAATACGTTTTATATGCGTTAAGTCTGTGTGCTATAGTAGAATGTATACTTTTTGTTTTGTTGGTACTATGTTTCCTTTTCATGCCGTATTCATCGTAATAGTTTATGTTCTATCTAACATAACATATCAAAAATTATTCTGAGATATCATAATGACTGCCTCGTTGGCTGAACGGTCGCAAGGGCGATTGCCGGGCAGGAGGTCTCGCCAAAGTATTACTAGGTGTTTTTTTTAAATTCTCAGTTATAGCACGGAGTCTGGATTGTGCCCGGTATATGGCAATATTCTCACCCCCTATTACATGGGACTCATAACATAAATAGTGAAAAGTGGGTGCTACATTGTACAGTGGCATTAAGTGCCGTAATGTGCACCTCTGCCTATCCCATCGCGGATAAAAGGTGTGATTTTATGTGATACCATAATGTCAAACACCTTAAATTAGGAATCTCCTTTATCTTTTATTTTGGCTGTTTACGAGGCCCTTTTAAGACGTCATTTGTGTTTGTGTACTTACGTATATATTATACGGGACTAAAAAAATTTATTTACTTAATTATACACAGATTAAATATATTATTTACATGCGTTACTAGAAAATCAGAAAATCACTAACAAATAATCCCAATCATCACAAATCACAATATTTATACGCAAAACGAATACAAAAATATGATAAGGAGCAAACCTTTCCTACATCATAACATAGGATATAACCCGCGAAGAGTTCTGAACCTATACTATATTCCTCAATTTACGATATTTCCTCTGAATTCGCGAATAAGTAAATAAGTTTCGTATCTTATATAGAGGTAGGCATTTACTCCCGTTTTATCTTATTGTGCTCTGGGCTCAAGAGCAATTTGGTTAAATTTATTGATGGCAGTTTCTAAATGTTATTCAAATTAAATGGTTCATCTAGGTACTTCGGTTTGATTGGGTGGAAGGTTTTTTTACAATAGGGTAGATGCTTAATTTTTATTTTAATGTCCGTTTGGTAGATTATTTTAAATCATTAGACACGTATTTTTTATTTTCTTATGGATCGAATACTTTCGACGATTTATTGATTTGAAATGTCGCGTGACGTCACTTCTATGTACATTTTAGAAATGACGTTTTAGCCCCTACTCCTAAACTTTGATTCGTTTTATCTAAATGTTGTTTTATTATACGACAAAATAAAAAAATACGTGTCTAATATTTTTTCATTGCCTAACCTACGGACTAATTAGATTTTTTATTTTCGTACCCTGTCATCATCCCAATTGCTGGTGAATATTTATGAATTTATTTTATGTTGGTCTTTTTTAAAAGAATTTTTAATCATTATTGAAAATTTTCATTAACAATCCGTTCCGGCCATTTCAAAATGTATTGAAAAAGTCATGGAAACCAAAGTCCAATTATTTTTTCGATTTACTTACAATTTTCTCTGGGAACAAATCTTTTTTTTTTCTATCCCCTGAGAATTGAATATGGGACCTTTTTCCGCTCGATTCAACTTTTTATATAGGCACCATGAAATTGCACTTTCATTATTTAAACAAGAAAGAGATTGATTTTCTTGGAATATGACAGTTGTTTTTCGAAAGCTATAATCGTAATATTTATCTTCTCTTTATAGGAATAAGAAATTAATGAACAGCGTTTCCATTGTAAGGTGGTGTAGTGGTAAGGTGAATTAATGATTTAATATTTTCTCAATTCACATTTACATAAATACGAAAGTAAATTGTGTTTACCGCGATGTAACGAACCATTTAACCATTCATAACAGACTAGCTTCTGCCAGCGGTTTTACCTGCGTTCCCGTGGGACAAAAAGTAGCCTGTGTGTTATTCCAAACCATAGCCTTCCCCTGTACCTTATCTTAACCCCTTCAGTCGTTTTGAAGTTAAGAAATAATAATAAAACAAACAAATTTTCGCACTTATAATATTATTAAGATTTTAATTCAAAAATAAATAGTATCATAAGCAGAAACAGTTTTACCTACTAGTTGTAAAAAATGAAACATAACATAACATCACGCCTTTTTATCCCCGAAGGGGTAGGCAGAGGTGCACATTAAGCCACTGTACAATAATGTAACACCCACTTTTCACTATTATGTTATGAGTCCCATGTAATAGGAGGTAAGCCTATTGCCATATACCGGGCTCAATTCCAGACTCCGTACTACTACTGAGATTTTTTTAAAACCCCAGTAATAAATGAAAAATTAATAAGTTAAAAATGAATCTAGTGGACAAATATTGAAATCAAAGAAAGACAATACAAACCACAAGAGTACTTGATGGTAATATAATTAATTCTCTTAATCAAAATACTAAAAAAATATTAGATAGCCTATCTAAAAAGATTTGCCTGTTCAAATCTCCTTTTTGCTTTATCTACCTACTTACATTTAATTAAAATTTGCTAAGGCGCGTTCATTAATTGTTCAAACTTAAGATATACCTTGTAATTTTTGCGGTTCTACAAACGAAGCTTGCTTGCTAATTACAAAGAACATTATGGTACAAGAAAAACGTTACAGAGTTTTTATTTAATTAGGCTTAATTTTTAATTTCTTTGAAATTAAGTTTGGTTTATACTTACCGCTGTGGCCGATCTATGCGGACGAATATCTTATGCTGTTTCAATTTTATTGCTCAAAATTTGTAGGAGAATATTATTCAATGTTTTTATTAGCGTTTTGGATGTCTGTATCTAACAATACCTTAAACTGAAATTAGTTAATGTGAGTCAATTTAATTAATTAATGAGTTTAGGAACAAATTTGCATGTGTATGTGTGGATAATGTTTCCCATTTTCTTGTATATATATAATAAACTTTTGAATAATTGCAATGTGAATACTATAGATAAAGCTTATAGTATTACTTATAACCATAGTATTAATATTATTGGAACTGAACACTGCCTGCCTCGTTGACTGCCTCGTTGGCCGAGTGGTCGCAAGTGCGACTGCCGGGCAAGGGGTCTCGGGTTCGATTCCCGGGTCGGGCAAAGTATTACTGGGTTTTTTTTTTTTTTTTTTTTAAAAAAATCTCAGTAGTAGCACGGAGTCTGGAAATGTGCCCGGTATATGGCAATAGGCTCACCCCCTATTACATGGGACTCATAACATAAATAGTGAAAAGTGGGTGTTACTTCTATGTGCACCTCTGCCTACCCCTTCGGGGATAAAAGGCGTGATGTTATGTTATGTGGAACTGAACATTCTACCAGCTCTTGATACATAATTACTCATATAACCAAATTTTATCTTTCTCTAAACATCTTTCTTCTTTCACAGTGCCTCCAAACATAGTGGACGAAGGTACGAGTGGAGACCTCGTCTCCAGAGAAGGTCAAGATGTAAGTCTCTCCTGCAGAGCTGAAGGTAGACCTTTGCCAAGAATTCTTTGGCGAAGGGAAGATGGAGCCAATATTCAGTTGAGAAACGAAGCTGGTGAGCTTCGAAAAGGTAAAACATACTTTGTTCTTATAGTAAAAAGAGTTCAGTTTTCCCTGCACTGCATTTTCATCGACATGAAATCACTTCTCTAAAACATTTTAAATTCTAAACCTTAAAGACTACTTCAATTTAGAATTTTCCGATTATTTTTTCTTTATATATATTTTTAAACAAACAACAATCAGTAAACGAAGTATTCGCTATTAAAAGTTGTGACAAGCCCCAAAGTAAAAAGAAATCAAAATATTGTTTTTTTTTTTTGATAGATTATTTGAAATCTTTAGACACTAATTTTTGTTTCCTTACGGAAATAAACACTTTCAACAATAAAATAAATTGAAATATCGCGTGACGTCACTTTTGTCTACGTTTTTTAATAAAAATATCGTAGCTAGCTCCCACTCCTTAACTTTGATTCATTTTATCTAAGTAGGTATATTTTATTATACGACAAAATAAATAATATTTTTCATTACTTAACTGACGGATTAATTAGATTTTTAATTTTCATACCCCAACATCATCCCTATTAGACAAAAAACTTAAACTAAATACTTTACCCCAGCAGATGTTTTAAACAACACTAACTAGCCAGTTTTAACTTTACAATAAAAACTACGCAAGTCGAAACAAGACTAGAAGGTGTAGTAAACTGCAGACACTTCAAAACAAGTTAGACGATTGAGGCAATTAAACTTGTTCGTTAAAAACTTTGCAACTTTTTAACACAAGAACCAACTTCCTACTTAAGTTAGGCTTTACGGAAAGAATTCTAATAAATTTACGTTCTGAACGTTAAGTGAAAAAAAGGCTAACAATTTTGACTTTGCCGGAAAATCCCCAAACACCTTCTCAAAAGTGGTTGGACCAGGAATTTAGATAGGTTAACTTGGATGTTTTTAATGGTAAACTTAACGGGTCACCACACACAATTTGCTGACTAATGGGTGCCAGCTTTAAAGAATCAATACATGTTATCGTTGATGTTTTTTAAAATTAAAAACATAATTGCTTTTAGCAGTCTTTTCTCTTCAATGTGCCTTTGATTATGATCTGAATCATTTCAAAATTGAACAATGTTTTAACAACTTATTCTTTATCCCACAGGATTTTTTAAACATTTGAAGGCTGTAAATACTAAATTAAAATCTCTCAACCAGTCACTATTTATTTGTATCTAACTGTTATTCGGAACAGTACAAAAATGAATTTATTAGTCATTACCAAAAATTTTTATTTTCATTTAACAAACAAGGCCAAAAATATTTTCCACTGAATTGAAAATACACTCAAAGTTATTTTGATACAATCAATTCAAAACTTTAAACTAACATTGTTTTGTGTCGCTAGTGTCGTTTTTGGTCTGCAGTGCTCGTAGTGTTTTACATACAGATAGATACAAAATCGTGGTCGGTAGCAAAATCGGTATCGTAAAATGCAAACAAAAGAACTTCGGTGCACCACGGCACACCGCGTGTGGTTTGTGGAACTCAGAATATTTCATAGCGTATTTTATACGTGAAGACTGTAGTTCGGTAATTTCGCATTTAACCGCCATTTTTTGGTGCATAGTTTCAATTTATAGGTGAGAGAAAAAGGGTATTCGAGAATGAAGTTATTATGTTACCGTGTACTACCTACTTTTTTATGAAATAAGCCTGTAAACGAGCAGACGGATCAACTGATGGTAAGCAATCGGCGCCCCCCATGGACACCCGAAACACTAAAGGTGATACCAATGCATTACCGGCCTTTTGGGGATTAGGAATTATTTGAGGATTATTGGGTATTCGGGAATTGGAGACATTGGGGAGAAGGGTAATTGGGTCTCTGGTCTCCACACGACGAAACACTACGCAAGCATTGTTTCACGTCGGTTTTCTGCTCGGCCGTGGTATCGTTCCGGTCAAGCCGGCCAATTCATGCCGAAGCATGGCTCTTCCACACTTAAGCACCATAAATGGCATTTATTTAGTCTTTCGATAATTTATTGTAGAAGCATAGTCTAAATATATATACCCAAATATAATATGAAAATACGTTCAACCTCAGTTTGGAGTTGCATGTAAAAGTACCCGACTCTTGCACTTCTTATATTGAATAACGTGAAGCTATATTACATTAATGTCGAGTTAACCAGAGCAGCGGTCTAGACATACATCTTAATTATAATATAAATCTTATACTATTGGGACTGTCTGAAGTTAATTTTAACCATCATCTCAAAGCACCAGCAACCTTTAATGATTAAACGGATATTATTTACAACCAGAATGTACCTACAGCATCTGCGAGAGTCACTTTGACTACAATATAATCATTTAATTTTAAAACAACTCAGAGATAGGGGCCATTCAAGTATTACGTAAGCACCATTTCTCTGTTTCGCTTATTTTGGATGATATGGGGGGTAGGGGAGTCTAGATGATGATTACGTCATCGGTACTTATTTACTTTTTTACACGAATGGCAACCCTCATATTAAATTATAAATTACAAGCAAAGACCGACAAAGAATTAGACATTATGGTTTCTAAGAGAATATTAAAATTACAATATGTATAAAAAATATATAATTTAAAATGTTTACGTAAGCAAAGGGGGAGGGGGTAAGATCTTTGCTTACTTTGCTGACAAGGGGGATGGGGGGGGTAAATCATTGTAAAAAATCTGCTTACGTAATATTTGAACGGCCCCATATACATTTACATTTAGCAAAGCAACTGACTTACGAAGTTCCACTTTATTCTTTTTCACCTAGCAACCATTGAAAATTAACTATGATTACTCTTTCAGAAAGTAGTACAAGATTATAATCAGACCTGACTTTTAATGTAATTGAATCTGCCATCAATTTTTTTATGACTTATCTGTACACTGGATCCTGAAAATAGAAGATCTGGTGTCGCGGAGAACCTAACGGGTAACCGGGGCTCCGACTCGACGTGCAGGAGAAGGAACAGGGTGGTTTTTAGTCAGTAAGAGTCTGACACTCCCTCCCGCCTCACCCAGGTGGGAGCAGTCATTCGATGATTTTCCCCCCCTTAAAAAAAATAGAAGATCTAGTACTCAAATTAATAGTTACCTTCATGTTATATGCTATCCAAAAAGAAATAAAACACACAAGGAAAAATAATAGTTTAATAAAAATAAGTAACGTTTTCGTGTTAATAAAATTCTCTTTATTTTCTATTCAAATTCCCTTAATGTCTTCCTATACTGGTAAGGTACTTCTAGGGGATTAGAGTACCTAAGTTATTTTTATCAAACGCTGGTTCTTCAGAAAAAAGGTATTATTGAAATCTTAAATTACGGCGCTCTTTTTTTCTTCATTTTATAAATATTTTATACCTACCTACGTCAACACGGCAAACAAATACTATAAACTTAAAATAGGTAAGCACGTACATGTACATGAAATTAGGCAAATATATTTTTTTCATCTTTATAAGTATAAGTGGATCAACGTATTTACTTCAAGAAAATATCTAAATATTATACTCTTCACGTTTCTATTACATTTTATGTAGGTACATTATAACATTTTCTAAAATAGAATAGAATATATATAATAGAATATTTTTAAGAAATTGTATTTTCAGTTAGTAACTACTATCGTTTGAACTAATATTCTATTAAGATAAACTAATAGATGGATTGTTGGATAATTGTGAAAAGTATTAGCTAAATTTAACGTAACTAATAAAAACTTAATTCTATTTAAAAAAAAAACACAGCGACATAGAAATACACTTAAAATATAATACGGTAGTTGACAGGTAGTCAAATTTAAGACTTTTATTGAAATGTCAAAAACAATACTTTTCTAGGAATTTTGTATTGGATCGCAACTTATGACGTCATCATATTTATGCGTCAAACATATTTCCTTAAAATTAACGAGAAAAAATCCAAAAGTAGGTAAATTGTCAAAGCAACGGATGAGAGTCTGATTATTTTTTAATTGTTTATTGCATTGAAAAGTTAAAACAATTTATTTTAAACTTAGTAAACTGCCCAATTCGAAGAACGTTCTCCACTAATAATAAACGAGTTATTAAGTTACAGATTAGGTTATAAGTTATATTTATAAGTTATAATCCTCGTTTCTTTGCACCGTGAATGACAAGCCCCGTTTCGATTTGCGGCGGCAACGAACCGTCCCTCTTTGTGTTCGTTGCTATTACTTTAATTTCTCTATGTCAGCGCAGTCGGTGTCTCATTTCCGCGTGTTTTGCCGGTCTTCTCTATTATTGTCATTTATTTACGTCAAACTAAAATGTTTTAGGCATCAGTCTAAGAATATATATTTTGGAAAAATAGGTATTTGTTTATTTTAAGGAAAGGCCATGTAAAATGTAATAGGTAAAAGATTATTATCATTACTGCATCTTAAAGCCCACATACTGTTAAAGGATGAAAAGAATGAATAAATGAATTATCTCAGAAATAAATGAATTAATAATAATTATATCATTAAGTATGTTTAAAAAACCTTACTTCAACACACTCTATTTTTTTAAGTAAAACCTTTTCCTAAGTGTAACGAACATTTTTCTGAAAACAACATCAAAATTAATTCAGACAATCTAGAGATTATCGCGCACAAATATACATACATACAAACATACAGGTCCAACAAAGAGTCTCCTTTTTTAAAGTCGGTTAAAAACTAATTTACAATTAATAATTAAGATAAATATGGATATAGGCATGGAAAAGAAATCATAATACAAGGTATAGTTTTGAAACCATGACATTTCTCGGGGGCATGTCACAGAAGTCATAAAGGTTCAATGTAAGAGAAAATTTCGGGTCATTAGTTAAAAATACGGCTGTAATAAATAGTTATATAAGTGCGACAGTATTTCAGAATAAGCGACTGCAATGTTTCTTATTGGAGTTTTATGGAATTAGGAATAATATCAATTACGTGTTTGAGTTTGTGTGTTAAACCGCGTTATAAAGCTAGTTACAAGACGACGGCGTGTACTTCGCACTTACGGATTTCCGTAATTTCAGAAAAATGAAAAATTTTTACCTACAATTTTTTTATTGATTCGGACTCAGAATCGATAGCCGAGTTACCTCCTATAAAATGACGCGGCTTTAAAACAACACCTTGTATAGATAATAAGAAGATGGTATAGCCCACGTATTAAGCAATGCTTTCATTTCTTCGTTAAATAATTCAAACAACATTTTCCTTCCAGGAAAATTTTAAATCTGAGCGCATAAATTAATTATATTTGTTATTCATAAAATGCTAATGGAATTCATATTTCTTTCGTTCTTTGTTCTCAGTGGACATGTTCATGGGTCCAAGCCTGAACTTGTCGAAGGTGGAGCGACGGCAGATGGGCGCGTACCTCTGCATTGCGTCCAATGACGTACCGCCTTCTGTAAGCAAGAGGATAATGCTTAGTGTTACTTGTGAGTATTGAAATTAAAGTTATTGATAGATATTACATGATATTCAAAATCTTTTTTAGTTACTAGATTGTTAGTAGCCTGGACGATAGCTCCGCTATTAAGTTGAACACATACTGTTTTTCTACTACCTTGTGTCGTGAAGAATTTGTCTCAGAATGACCACCCTATTTCCTATTTAGTTTAGTGAAATGTATACTAAATCTATATAAGTACATAATATATAAAAAAGTCGTGTTAGTAATACTATTTATAACTCAAGAACTGCTTAATCGATTTGGATGAAAATTTACATATTAAAATTTACTATAATTAAGTACCTGTAAAATACATATTAAATGATTTAGTAAACTTATATTAAACTCTATTCCTGATCAGTACTCATTTTACTAAACTTCTATAAAACGAAGGCTATAAGTGTAGTATTTCACAGTTTTAACGATGCAAAAAGTTTTTAACTACTGCTAGTACTGCGTTGGCCAATTAAATTCTCTATGCGTGATCGGTTTTATTTAAACCTTTTTTTACAGTACCTATAATAAATTCGATCCTGGCTCTATTACAGCATTTTTTTCTAACCATTTCACGTTGGCACCTTTCGATAGCTATTCATATCATTGGAGTAGTCGACTTTGTGGGTAATAATATAATTGCAGTACCAATGTTACAGTTCCAGATCGTAATTCAACAAATGCTTTTATAGTTAACTTAATAAATATCACTACCAAAGTCCTGTTATCACTGAATATTTTCAAAATTCCTGATGATCCCAGAGGATGAACGGAAGGAATTTTGAAAATATTCAGTAGTTGATAGGCCAGAGCCGATCCTTGATAAGGCATCTATGTTCCATTTTCGCGATACTCGCAATTCATTTACTATAAGCTTAACAGGTACATAAGTACAATTAATTTTATTTGAGCGAAAAGAAAATGGTAGCTTTTAGAATAGTACCTACTCAACTCAACTATGAAACTTGAACTTTCCTACATATATAAACACTATTCTAATTAAATTCTTGTTCACAGTTCCACCATCAACCTTAGTGGCGACCAAGGTGATTGGTGTACCAACGGGGTCTCAAGCCAGACTGGAATGCTTCGTGGAAGCATTCCCTCAAGCCATACATTACTGGCTCAAAAGTGGTGAAGAAATGATACTATCAGGGTAAGTAATACTAATAAAGTAATGTATTCTAGAGAATTCCAAGGAGGAAACTATTTTTATATCATAGATGAATGTGGTCGCAATATGATTTGTATCAGCGTCTTATTGAATTGATAAAGTCCTAGAGATAGCGCAGGATTTTGATAGCTCAGACAAATGTAACTGTACTTAGTGGTAACACCACTACATTTTATAATTATCAGTCTCAAACAACAGTTATCCAAAATGTAGACGTCGCAATACTTAATTTTACTTTTCAACGTAACGGCCCTTTGTTATATCATTTCAACAATTCAAAATGGCTGTGTTAAACATTTCAAAATAAACAACCCTCGTTTGTCGTTCCAGTCTCATGGCCATAACGTTTAAACAAACCAGGTCTAAAATTCTAACAAACAAATACAAAAGCTGTAATTATAACCTAAAATGGGCAGCAGCCGCTGATATCAATCGTAACTGTAAAACTCCCGTTAAAAGTCTGTCCAGACGAGGGACTTCTGCTGACTTGAGGTAACATTATCACGAAAGATCACAATATTCTCATTAATTCTCTTTATGAGTTATTCAATATAAGTAGTTTAAATAACGTTTTTTCTTCTCCTTTAATAATATCTTCTGATTTATTTCATTACGAGATCCAAGACAGTCATTAATGTCTGTGGAACGCGCCGGACTTCACTGTCCCTGTGTTTTCATGGTTGTATCTACTGTAGATCCTGGCTTACAGAAGTTGGAGTGGTTAAAGGAGGTTGTGGCGGGCTTGTCCCTTAAAAAAAGTAGTCTAAAAGGGATTTGTATTGATAAAAAATCCCGAGAAAACCCTGTAGCAGAGTTATATTTAAGAGTTGTATATAACCCGTTACACAGTCTTATGCATAGGTTGCCCACTGTCCAATAGTGATCTGATGATGCATTTTAATTCTCTGTAGACATTTTTCTTACTTTTTAATTGATTTTTGTACTCATTGGACCAAAGTTTCTCGTTTGCTCAGGCTATAAAAGTACCAAAGAAAACCGACTAAGTTCTCGAACATTCCTTTGTCATTATCATTTCCCTTCGCATCTGTTCCTGGTTTTACTACGAAACGCAATAAAATTGCCAATATTTAGGTGTTTTATTAGTCATTATTGTATATTAGGGACGTTATTGCCGTTTATTGTCTGGTTCCTAGCTCTTTCTTGGCTTTTTGCTATATAAGAAGCTTTAAGCAATTACCGGGACTGGGATTGGTCATGTTCATGCTAATTAAGGTGGTGTAAAATTAAGAAAATAAGGAATTAGGTACTTAATGATGCTGTAATTTATTTTTGATGTCGATTCAATCCATACTAGATTAAAAGAAAAAATGGAAAAGAAAATCACTGTACATCATCAACACCCTATAAATGTCCAGTGCTGGGCAAAGCCTCTTCTCACACGGAGAAGGTTAGAGCATTAATCACCACGCTTGCTCAATGCGGGTTGGTGATTTCAAACTTATAATTAGAAATTATAAGCCCAGGTTTCCTCACGATGTTTTCCTTCACCGTTTGTTAGTGGCGTCTAAATAATCTTAGAAAGTACTTATAACTCGGAAAAAGTCACATTGGTTGCCGATGTCGATGGTAGGTTTCGAACCCGCACCCTCATGCATGAGAAGCGGGCGTCTTAAACCTCCGAGCCACCACGACACCCACTTCGGTAGTATAGTGGTCAGTATCCCAGCCTATCACTGTACATAAATGGTTAAAAATTCAGATATTTTCTATGACCAAATTATTGTACCTACCGATTTTCTTTTCATAATATAGTTTTAATAGGACCTTTACTATTAAAATACTAGCACTCTAATAAACCTATTCAAATGAAATCAAAATAATTACTTATTATAATTCTCGTTATTCAAGAGAACCTTACGAAATTAGTTGAAACACCCAAGGAAAGTAATTAGACAAATTAGTTCATTATTTTGTATAATAATCACTGAGTCGTTTTCGCGTTTATGACGTCATAAATTCTCCAAGTTTGCACGCGGTCTTCTCGACCTTTACGTATTTCTTATTGTTCGTAAGTGAACTTTGTTTTATAGATTATCTATTTGTATTATCAAAAGATTGTAGATTTTATGGGATCAAACTGCACTAGCTACTTTGACATTATGAGTTACTAGCTTCTGTCTACGGCGTCACTCGCGTTCCCGTGGGACAAAGAGTGACATATGTTTTATTTTATGGGATAAGCCGGTAAATGAGCAGACCGATCACCTGATGGTGAACAATCGGCGCCGCCCATGAACACCTGAAACACCAGAGGCGTTACAAGTGCGTTACCGGCCTTTTGGGAATTGGGAATTTGAGCATTCTGAGGATTCAGGGATTGAGGAGACTAAAAAGGAAGAGGGGGTGGTAATAGGGTCTCACCGGTAACCTCACTTACATGACGAAACACAACGCTAGCGTTGTTTCCTGTCGATGAAAATTATTAAGTATTTAACTCGTCGAGTACCGGTTTTATAGACACAATTAAAGAACAATAGGTCGCGGTCACCGGTGACCGCTTGGTGTTTGACAGATTAATATAATGAGTATAAAATCTATTTTTTATTATCTTGAAATATGTTTAATCTTTTCTGAACTTTTACGAGTATAACCTTTATTTACTTCAAACTCTTTGAATATAGACATTAGGCAGATTTTTGTGTGGTTAAATTTTACTTAAGCCTAATAGCTAGCTATATAATATAGCTAGCTAATAATAATAATCAATCGTTTATTGATAACAAAGAAGTACACGTTACAGTATCACGTCACTTATCTAGAATTCATGAAGACATTTGGTATATAATTATGTTCAATAACTAAAATACTAGGTACACTAAAATAGTTTCAGCTTAATATGTGTATTAATTCCGTATATATTGCTAGTCATAATAACAAACGTTATATGTATAATTGTACATGTATAACGTTTAATATTTCTTGCTCATCGGTTCCTTCCCAGAAATATTTGTGCTTATATCGAGCTAATGATTCCAGGAATACGGTCTGTACCAATTAATATATATACGTCAGCATTGTGTTGTGGCTATATATGACATTGAGTATATATATATATACTAGCGACCCACGCCGGCTTCGCACGGGTTCAATATGTATATGTTATTCATATAAACTTTCCTGAAGAATCACTCTATCTATTTAAAAAAACCGCATCTATACCCATTGTGTAGTTTTAAAGATCTAAGCATACATGGGGACAGATAGACGGTAAATAGCGGTTAACAAATTATCTTTACGTCAAAATCAAATAATAGGCGTGATAGTTGAAAATTCGCATAAGAATATAAGATACCACTTCGTGTTACAATAATTTGTATCTACAATAAAGGTATTTACAAGTAGCAAAAAGGCTCCGTTCGATGTACTAAATTACCTAGGATTTAGCTCAAAGGAGTTTTGATACAACTTCAGAACTGAGTTTTCGGTAATTTGTCTGAATAATACAGGTAACTAAAAGTAAACTGATTAAAACTTTATTTGTTTTAGATATTGTTAGAAAACAATAATTTTGTTGTGACCTAATTTTGGTATTGTTAAATATCTCTGTGCCACTGAAGGGTAGACGGACACCCGAGCGTAGGGCGCGTCGCGTTCCGCGCGCGCCTCAAAGAGCCATCAGACCACCACAGATGGGGCCCAATAGGGCCGATGCCGATTCAGAGTCGCGGAGAACCTAACGGGTAACCGGGGCTCCGGCTCGACGTGCACGAGAAGGAACGGGGTGGTTTTTTGTCAGTAAGAGTCACTCCCTTCCGCCTCACCCAGGCGGGAGAAGTCATTCGATGATTTTCCCCCCTTCAAAAAAAGGATAGACGGACAGAATACCTCAGACTTTAAGTCCACCCATATAGGTACATATTAGCATGAAGTATTAAAAAATTTTTTATCGATAAAGACGTTTTATTTTTTTTATTTCTATTTCACATAAAGCTTCTAATTTCATACTATGTTTTTATCCTAGGCTTTTTATTGAAAACATCAAAAACATTATTTTGTAATTATTTATGAAATCCTCGTATCTGGCAAACGCTATTGCGTCGAAACACAAAGAGAGATTTGATAGATAATGAGAATATTTATTTATTTATTTTGTTACAGTGGCAAACATGAAATATCTGAAGAACGTATATCATCATATCAGCTGCGAACGATACTCGTAATATCGCAGTTTGATCCAGAGGATGTTGGTACTTACACCTGTGTAGCTACCAACACCATGGGCAAGGCAGAAGGAACTCTACGGTTATATGGTAAGCTACAAAATGCTTTGATGACAAAATCTAATTGTGTAGAGCATGTACAGCCAGCTAATGAAATAGTTTGATAGGCAGATAACAAAGGAAAGATTGACTCACTTCAGAAACAGAGGTATTGTTATAGGCAATTGTTCGGGCTTTGATAAAAGCAAAACATTTTGTAGGTATATATTCTAACTTGCGTACCAAATTATTGTGTTGACTACACATGACGTCATGAATCATATGCAATTTTTAGCTTAGACATTATGTTATTCGTTTAATTGTCATGTTAGATTAGTCTTAAATACTCCTTGAAAAGCACTAGCTTTTCAAACAATTAATTTACGTGTGAGTAGTTACTAAACTACTCACACGTAAATTAATTGTTTTTCGGCTTACTCACGTAATTATTTGCCGAGTACCTACCTCGACTAGTTTCAAGCCATGCTAGAAGCTGATATTCATGAGCAACATTTCGCGCCCCGCGACAGTAGCAGCGCGACAGTCACCGCATCGCGTGTTATAATAGTTAATTTAGTATGTCTCACGAAAGTTATAGTATAAACACTCACACGTAATTAGTGATTTACACATTTGTATGTACTTTAGACTGAAAACTTAATATCTTTTTAATACTCTATTCTTTGTAGTAAATCCGTAGCTCAGTCTATTTAACTGTAATCAGCGGAACGTTAAACCGCCTGCCACAGAACTTTACCGGTGCGGTATACTTTTAAAAACGAACTGAGTTCTGAAAAGTTTTATACAAACTTTTTAAAGAAAACGTTTTTGCTATCTTTGGGTATATGAAGGTAGGTAGGTATTTATAGGTCAAAACTCTAGATTTACTTTATTAGCTTAACTACATCTTAATGTATTCTTCTGAATCAAATATATGTATTCAAATTGAAAATGATTAATTCTGACTACACGGTTGGTGCGGTGGCTGGGCAACCGGCTGCCGTGCAACGTGTCGCGGGTTCGATTCCCGCACGGAACAACGCTTTGTGTGATCCACAAATTGTTGTTTCGGGTCTGAGTGTCATTGTGCATGTAAACTTGTATGTTTGTAAACGCACCCACGACACAGGAGATAATCCGAGTGTGGTGCAACGTTTTAAAACACAAATTACATAAAGTAACATTAAACCGTTTTCCCCACATATAAAATCCACTTTCAATAATTCGTATTTGTGTTTTAATTCGGGTAAAGCCATTCTGCTTCCGAGAATTCAAAAAATCCGAAAACTTTACCCATACTTCACTCAGTAAACAAATCAAAACTGAAAGCCCAGTCAGTTACTCAACCGGCGCACTGGAGACCGACCATTCGATAAAGTTATCATGTATGTCTTTTTTGTACAGAAATAAGTTATCATAATGTATTTCTATTTATACAGAAATCAAAATTACAACAACAACAACTACAACGACAACTACAACAACGACGACCACGACGACTACAACAACTCCGGCGCCGACAACAACGGAGCCACCGCCACGTAAGTTGTAATATTAGTTAACTGTACTAGTAAACTGATATAATACCAATAACATACTTATGCATACAATAACACAAACACATGACTTTATCCTATATAATGTGGCGCGGAGAACCTAACGGGTAACCGGGGCTCCGGCTCGACGTGCAGGAGAATTTTTAGGCAATAAGAGTCTGACACTCCCTCCCGCCTCACCCAGGCGGGAGCAGTCATTCGATGATTTTCCCCCCTTAAAAAAAACCCTATATAATGTAGGTATAGATAGAAAATAGGTACAGGAAGATTTTTTACAGTCTGTACTTAGCTTTCAATGTATTTCTGCGTTCCTCGTGTTTGTACAAGAACATCACGTCAGTCAAATATGGTCAGATTTCAATGTAACCTACTAATATCAATTTCAGACAAAAGTTTCAATTAAATTAATCAATGACAACTAGTATAATTAATAAAACTAAGTTCTCAACTAGAATGAACAAACAACGTGACGACGAACTCTTTTAATTAAAAAAGACTTTTTTGTACACAAACAAAAGTAATATCACAAAAAATGTCCATTTATACATTCGTAGAAACATCATTAAGAAAGAATAAATTATGATAATCCACTCGGAGTATGCATTTATTTCTGTCACCGCATTCAAATTGACGATTTTTCATAATTTTGTCTACGTCATCAAGATGAATCGTGGAAAAAGTTTCATTTGTCATAATCCATTCAGTAATTTATGAGTGCGATAAGAAAAAAGAATGCCTCTCGAGAGGTACCTCCCTAAAAACTTCGATTTTTTTCGAATGTTTGGAGACCGCATTTGGTATCAGTAATTTTTGCTATCATCTAGGATTTATGGCTCAAAAAGGTGAACAGTACTGCTACAATCCGCCAGTCTTCCGACTATGTTTTATTTTATACGATCTTCGACGTTGTAGTTCTAGCTTCCTTCTCCATTTTGGGTGCAATTGAACTTAAACAGCTATAGACAACCAGCCTGTTTCAACTATTAATGAACGATTCAACAGCTGTATGCTTTAAATTGGTCCTTGTCGTCTAAGAATCTTAGACCTAATTAAATATAACGATTTAGTTATGGAATGTACCAGATTAATCAAGCATATGTTTCCAACGCAGCCATATTAACCTCTCAATAATCGAGTAATGAGAATGTGTGGACTTGTGTATAGAGACAAAAATACACTAAATCTCAATTTATTTCATAGTTTATTTACATGACCTAATTATTGTTCCTAGGATTCGTGGTACCTCTACAACCAGCAGAACAAAAGTTCTACACGCCAGATGTCACAACGTATGGTAAGTAGCAATAACTCGAAATACACGATCGGCTTAATAATTTCCACATCAACAGACAAAGTAACGAATCAAAGGAATTCTCATATCGTTTATATGTTTTTTGCTCGTTTACAAATCGAGGACGATGTTGATTAAAATATTATTTATTATAAACAATCTACCTGTACGTAAATATGATTTATCGAAGACACGAGTCTGTATTGATCTTTGATAATTTAACCTTATTAATAACATTTATGGTTATCTGACTCTTAAATAACATTTCTTTTGGACAGAAGAAAGTCAATATTTGATTTGTTTTATAGACACAATGCAGAACGTGATTGAGCAGTCCGTTCTCGACAACAACTGGTTGCCGACTGCAGATTCTGCGGCCACAAGTCACCATCAAGCCTTTACTCTCCCCACTCTCGCGCTGTTCTCAGTGCTGCCATATCTAAAATATATTATTAGTAGTAGTTTTTATGCGATTATTGTAATTAGCAGGAATTTTCAATTTGTAACACAGAGTGCAAGATGATAAGTTGTCTTGTTTACACGGAAAATCAGTGTCAATTTAGTATGATAGGATTTTGTTGTTTAATTTCAGGTTAGCCATTAGTTTGCTTTGATATTTTATGTAGATTCCGTGTTCAGACAATTTTAAAGCTATTATTTACGTTTTAGCGTGCGTTAGCGTTTTAGCGTTATTCAAAGCAGTGAATCATTTTTTTAATATTATAATATATTCAGTAGTGTGTAAATCAATTCAACAAGGCTAAAAGGTTTTCGAGAGAAATTTCCGAATAAATTGGACACGTATCTGTCGGTAATAATGACTATGTAATATGAAATTAAAATAATAAAAAACTAAATATTCCAAAATTAATTTCATTAAGTTATTTGTAAGAGTATGTAAAAACGTTAAATCTGTAAATAGTTACGAAGATGTTGGTGTTTCGGGATAATTGTGATGGCATTATAAATATGTAAGTTAAAATAGAGATTGTATAAGAAAAGCCTACTCAAAAATATACGAAATTATCAATCTCTATTATTTTCGTTATTTATTCAGACCAATGATAAAATAACTAAACTTAACATCACAATTAAATTCATATATCGTAGGAGGTCGATGGTGATGCTACTTAAAATGGTGACGTCATTAATGTAGACGCCACATTTTATATGGAACTGGTCATCCACTAAGGCTTTTTCGTCCAGACTAATAATTAGACTCTAAATAGATTACACTTGGTTTTTTTACGAAGTTACAATAACCAGAGTTCTGAACAGTATGACGATTGAATTCACAAAAGGTCAAGAACAAAGTGTGACTGTAAAATAATATTATTAATTTGTTATCAAATTATATGTATAAACAGAGCTATTCTTCTAAATATTGACCATATGTCCTTGACTTATGTCGGAATACTCAAACGCTACTCAATTTTAAGTCGTGCTCAAGTATAGTTCTGTCTCTACAAATTCTATGTAAAATGACAGAGACGGCACGATATTTAAACACGACTTAAAACTGAGTAACGTTTCAGTATTCCGGCATTAGTTACTTAGAATGGCTCTGACTTAGTACTGACTTTGAACTATGTGTTTTTTACATAGAACCTTTGACATAGAAATTCGTCGACCTCACAACCTTTATTGTTTTTTTTATTTAATAGTAACTCAGTTAATTCCTACTGCGGGATGGATAACTACTATTTTCATGCGTATATTTTTCGGGTAGGCTTTGTGATTAAATATAATGTACAAATACAATAAATTAGTAAGAAAATAATTGTGTTTTGAACACAAGAACTGATGGTGAATGGATTTTTTGTAAGTAATTTTTAGTTTGTGATTATATTTACGTACTATTTTTCTGTTTTTCATTACATAATTTAACTGAATTTTTAACCTGAAACGTCAGCTCTATTTTAATATAAAATGCTTGTAAAATAATTATTGTAACAACAAAAAAATATAGACGACCACATAAAATCTGGGCGCTTGCAAATTGAATTTTCATTTTAATGACATAGAGCTCACTTTAAAAAGGTTATAACATTAATACATTTTTAAAAACTGTAATGCAAATTATACCTTAGGAAGTATGTAATAAAGTTATGTTTTCTTCATTTAAAGGTGGCAGACTGATGAATTTTGTATGTGTACTTTATTATTAGAATGGAAAGCGTGTAATTAACCAGTGGGCCTAAACTAATCGTAATGTTTTACTGACATCTTCCACGTACTAATGAGATATAATCATTATAAAGCATATCAAGTAATTGTATAAAAGATTGTAAATACTTGTAGTTTTAGACTAAGAAAATGAAAGAAGTTTATAGAAGGTTCACGAAAGACGAGTAGAACAACTGTATCTTAATTTATTTAGGGCTGATTATTCAATAAACAAATCGTTTTTAGCTGTGGAGAAAAATTGATATATGACAGTTTTTAGTGTGGAAGAGAAAAAATATTTAAAAAATTGAAAATTATTCCTCAGAGTAAATTTATCTGGTGTTGCAAAAATTGGTCGTTAGTGTGAAATCTTAATTTTCTCATTATGAAATCTTTTAACCTCTAGTCTGAGAGTAAACGTAAATAAGACACAATATATTTTTTTGGGTCTCACATAAAGCAAAGAAGATTTTGGGTCTCACATAAACAAACTGTGTATTTTATGGTAAAAAAACAGTTAAATTTCAATAAACACTCAATATGATTTTAAAACTGAAACCTTATTAGTCTTAGTATTATTATACATAATACCAAATTGTTGTTTTATATACACTGATTCTAGTCAAGTAATTTTATCACTTTAATTCTTTGTTTCTTTTTTGTGATTTTTTTAAATACGTTCCTACTAATGAATATGTTTAATATGTTTACACCCAAAAAATAGGCTTACAGAGAAAACCGTTGTTTTCAGACTAATTCAATGTTGCTTAATTTTATTTTGGTTTTCAGTGGGGAGCTAAAAGGTTTAACATTTTGCTATTTCAAAATACAGTTTGTAATATCAAAGATAACGTTATTAAAATAAAAGAGACCAAATACTGAAGTAGTGGGCTTCATAAAAATAAATTTGGGTCAATAGTTTCAGTAAAAAGGAAACCTTTTTTGTAAACCTGTAAATATTAATAAACGGTTCGAGGCTCATTTTTTGATAAAACAAAGTCTAAATTGAGGACGAATTTACTAAAAATGTTTTTATTAGTACATTGAACCGCGTGCCATACATTTTATTTACCTAAATTGTGTCTTATGTTTTAAGTATTGAGGTTGATTTCTGGTTTCACTTTTTTGACTTTACAGTGCTAAATTATGTTTAATGTAAGCGTTATTTAGTTTTAGGAAGAATGTTATGTACATATTGCTGGTAATTAGATATAATCGCTAATAATGTATTTAGGTAGGTATTGTTTTGAAGATAGGCAACTGCCACTGAATAATGTAAATAAATAAGGAATATCATTAAACGAACAATTTATAATTAAAATGTTTTGTTTTATTTCTTCTGCTAATTCATTATTATTATCATCATATCAGCCACAAGACGTTCACTGACGAACATAGGTCTCCCATGAGACTTCTAGGTCAACCTGTAAAAGGCATACTGCCCCTAGCTAGCACATTACATTGTTTGAACATAATACAAAAAATATTTTTTTAGTGTACTAAAACTTTTACTTTCATTTCTGCAAGACCAGTAAATTAAAACATTAGAATTTATCATTCAATTAAAAATATTTCCCTATTTTCATGAATATAAATATACATGAACATAAAAAAAACAAATAATAAACTCCGACACTCGATAGCGGAAAATTAAAGGCTACGAAAATATTCAAAAGGTGCTACGCCGTAGCCATTCGTAGCCACCTGCTACGAGAAATATTGCTACGAAAACTACGCCATTGGGATTATAGTTAATTTGACATTTTTTTATTTCATATAGTTGTTGAATACTACTTGAACGTTCATTTCTTTCCTTTGAAAACCTACATTCATAGTAAAGTGCTATGAAAATCTTAAAAAAGATAAAACTCTCGACAGCATGTTTTAATGTTTGAAATATGAATGGAAAAGCGTTCGACCATGCAACGTTTTAAACGCATACATATTTTTCTAGTGCACTCTGCCAAAAATGTGTGAAATAGTACTCACTACTAAGAATCAGCTCGTTGTAAATCTTTACATTGTAAGGTTTTTTAAAGGCTGCTGCATAAAAATAGTTTTGGCATGAATACAATGAATAAAATTCGTGTGAATTGCTATGTTTCAATATGATTTGTTTAACTTGGAAGCTCTTGACCAAATTATGAAGCTTTTGATTGCAATCAACGGCATACAAATATTTTACAGAAAAGTCTTTTAATAAATAAAAAGATCTATTTCGATCTTAAATACAAACGACAGAGAGTGCAAAATTCAATGAATTGTTTAACACCTTTTATTTACCCTCATCTTCTACGGACTGTATCCTTCTGACACATACTTCAACCTCAAAATTCTGTAACAATGTAAACAATGCGTACCATTAACATAACTTTCCGTGTGAAATGTAAGCATGGGAAGATAGCCCTTATCCCATTATTTATAATGACGTTAATGCCATAGCAATGAACAATCTTTGTCATGCAAATGATAGATCTAAAACAATTTAAATGTTAATGTATTTATCGTTGTGGAAAATTAAGAATAATTACAGAGAATTGACGTAAGACGTTGTACATACTTTATGTTTGTTTTTAACAATTTACTGGTTCTTCCAGTAATTGGGATGATAACGGGGTATGAAAATTAAAAATCTAATTAGTCCGTAAGTTAGGTAATGAAAAAATATTAGATACGTATTTTTTTTATTTTTTTGTATAATAAAATAATACTTAGCTAAAACGAATCAAAGTTTAGGGCGCCACTCCTCCTACAACGTCATTTCTACGTGTGATTATACATAGAAGTGACGTCACGTGACATTTCAAATCAATATATCGTCGAAAGTATTCGTTTCTGTAAGAAAATAAAAATACGTGTCTAATGATTGAAAATAATTTACCAGACGGACATTAAAATAAAAATTAGGCATCTACCCTATAGTAACACGACCTTTCTAGTACAATACAGTCATTAGCACCTTTTTTACTTTTTTAACAAAAAAAAGATAGTCATTAGCACATGAATCCTAGAAATGGTTCCTTGGTCGTCCAGAAGACTATACTATAAGATTTCAAATTATTTCCAAAGAAAATACATTTTATATAGATACTATATATGAAACGTATTTACTGACGCATGCCCCGTTGGCTGACTTGTCGCAAGTGCGACTGCCGGGCATGAGATCTCGGGTTCAATTCCAGGGTCAGGCAAAGTATTTTTGGGTGTTTTGAAAAATTTTCCAGTAGTAGCACGGAGTTTGGGATTGTGCCCGGCATATAGAAATAGGCTCACCCCCTATTATATGGGACTCATAACATAAATATTTAAAAGTGGGTGTTACTTTGAACAGTGGCATTAAAATATCGTAATGTCGCA